GTATTTAAAATTTTTTCCCCCCCCCCCCCCCCCCCCCAAAAAAAAAAAAAAAAAGAATAAATAAATAAATAAATATATAAATTTTGGACAAATGTGTTAACAGGTTCCATGGACAGAATTGACAGGCAAAATAAATATCCATGCCAAACCTTTTTTTTTTTTTTTATGTCCAGTTTAATAATTTTTAAGTCTGGATACCGAAGCAATGCTAAATTGCAAACACATTATTGGGTGTTGCCATTGTTTAATGGGCTGTCCAACTTAATTATGGTGACTACAGAGAACATATTTTTTAAATATTTAATATCCCACACAATTTCAAGGTTCATCTATCAAGTGTTCAACAGATGCTCCATCATTATACAGTTTAAAATGCATTGTTTCATGGGGTATTTAATTTGGGTCAGAAAGAAGGCAAGATTTCAATATAACAAATAAAATCAAGCTTGTTTTGTCTAGAGCAATGCTGGACAGAAATGATAAAATTCCTGTTTTTGTGGACATGATTTGCACATACTCACATTACTAATGAGGATATTTTCTGTTTTCAAAACAAATTCTTGTTATATAGTCAAATATAAACATAACATTCTCAGTATTTATAGCCTTATTTGTAAATATTTTATCTTAATTTGTACTTTAAATGGGCCAGCCATGCAAGAAGCAGCAGAGAGAAGACTAGGAATATATTTATCTGATTGAGACATGATTGCCGCTTTGACTGTCTCTCAATATGTAAAAAGCCATATGCAAGTATACTTTAACTTTGATAACTCACACAAATAATGTTTTACAGGCAATATCCATCCACCTATTTTTATACTGATTACCCAAAGGATCTGTTCGGTCCTGTAATAGACTATAAAAATGCCAGTGCATAAAGTAGTGTTTAGACATATAATATGTCTCCATTTTTTCTATCTATACAAATTGAACTTTACAAATTCCCTGGATAACTTAACTAAAGGAAAATTTTCAGCTCCATTTTAACAATCATTCCACATGCGGCTTTATTATACCTGGCACATTTAATTGCAATCTTTTTAAAAAATATTTTTGAACGTTTAAAAAAGAACCAAATCACTGTGTGTGAATAGGCCTATAAAAACCTCTTGCCTGCTCACAATGCGATCAATAAATGCATTAGATACGAACATTATCAGTTACATGTTGTTGTGCATATGTAAGCCCTAATGGTCGACTACAATGCTGTAGCTATGGGCTGTTTCTCAGGATCAAATGGAATGTTATAATTAACCACTGTGTTACAATTCAGCACGTTAGTGGCATGTATTTGTATATGGATCGGGTTCAGGAAACGAAGGAAATGCAGAAAGTATTAAGAATTGCGCCAACTGGAAATTTAATATTTTACCTCCAGGGAGTAATAATACTTTATGTAAATTGTCTCTGGCAGTAAATAAAAACTTTATTTGTAGTTTTAGAATGAATAAGGTGAACCTGACATTGACTGAGGGAAGTGTAAAAAAAGATCAAAATCTACTTTATGGGCAGCTACAGGCCAATAGTTCACCAGTACTAATACCTTTTAAGAAACCCTTTCCAATATATTCAATTATAACAGAAAACAAACTTGCAGATAAATGGAAAAGGTAGAGGGAACGGATAAAAAAAAGTTCATTAAAAGTAAGGTAACCATTTTAAATTGTAAACACCTCACTTTTTCTTATATTTTACTAATTCAAGTTTAATCATCCTTAGACTCTTCTGACAAGAGGCAAAATCACTTTTCAAACATTTTGAATCAATACTCCTTTATATAATTAACAATTTTCGTCGGGGAGGGGGGAGGGGAGAGGAAGAGGATTATAAATTTATTCATATCTTGAGTAATTACTGTACAACGGTAATGTTATTCATATATGTACATACCTGAACAGACAAAAAGTGATATCAGTTCCTCCTAGGTATATCATGTATGTCTTAGCATCAAAGAGTGTGTCAATCTCACTATAACATTATTATCATTATTATTATTATTATTATTATTATTATTATATAACTGCAGCAATAAAAGATAAGTGAATAAAAAATCTAGCACTATGATAATAGTGTTATTTCTTTTGCAAACAATTATTATTATTAACATGATTTCTATTTCAAAGAAATTTAACAGCTTACTGACACTGATAAAGAAAATATGTATATATATTATATCAGACAGGTTGAATAAAAAATTTAAAAGGCAATTACCTTTAGTGTGGATTACTATATGGTGATGAAAACCTGCCTTGCTCTTTGTTCCTAATCACTTGATTCATCTAAATCTCTGCTATTCAAATATGTTAGTTGTCTTCAGCAGATAAATCCTTAAAAGAAAAACAACCCAAATGATATAAATGTTGTTACCAGTGCAAAAGCATTCCGTATGAAATGAGTCCAAACAAATGTTGTTGGATATCAAAACTGACAACCTAGGCTTTTAGATGTGCCAATGAATTGTAACTGACAGCTTTATATGCCGTACGATCTTAACTGTCGGAAACAATAGTCTTTTGTACTGGAGTTCATGCTGTTAATCCTAGTAACATGTAAACATTTGTTTTAATTACATCACTAATACTACAGATATTCATATTAGTTGGATTACAAAGAAAATGTGTATTCACAGGCCTGAATTTGCATACATGTCAATATTTTTAAAATCTATATGTATTTAATTCCTTAGTTTTCATGACTGATGGGAATATTTTGACACTGTACTTTACAACCTTAGCATGACCTTCATCAAACGAATAATATTATATAACAGCTTAATTCCACTGATCAAGAAATGGTTTTTCATCAAAAAAAAAATTAGTATATGCAGGTTGACAAGTTCAATATACGTAGAATCTTTTACACATAAATTATTTTCTATTTTGGTATAAATATGAAATTTGCACTGTCATTATTTTTAGAATACATGTATGAATGAATATCTATTTATTTTGAAATTCACTGTCCTGATCAACAGATATTGTTGACATTTCCTTTTGATATGTTCAGAAAACTTCAGTCAAAACGATTCAGTGTCATTTAAAAACAAATTTGAAAACGTTTCAATCAAAATAGTTCAAAGCATTCAATACATGTACAAGGAATGGGTCAAGTAATGATTCATGAGTAGGAAAATATAGCATTTTTATTTGAGGAAAACTAGTTTTGGCTCGAAAATCCCAGATAGGACTCATTGACAGTTATCAACTTCAAGATTTTAAATAACTTTACTCCTAATATTCAATCTTACCTGTTACAAAACCTTCAGTGTTTATAATACTCCATGAAGCAGTCAATCAATCCCTTGTTCTCAAACATCCGATGTTTTATCTATAAATTTGCGCGAACCCTGTAATCGGAGGAAATCAAAACTGTAGCTTGTGGCCCTAATGACAAAATCAATGACATCACGAACTTATTGGCATTTGTGTCTTTGATTCTTAAATAACACTCTATTGATCTGATTAAGTAGCTTATGTTCTTGATGCATCGTATATGAAGTTTACAACCAATTTACGTCGAATCTATGTTATTGTAATTGTAAATTGATATAATATTATTTTGTGAATTTTTCACATAGATCTACGAGTTAAATGAACCTAGCGTTGATATAAAGACTTATAATTTATTGATATTCTCCAGCCAGGCCGGCAGCAACTGGAAGAGTAACAAAGCATTTGCCCAAACCCTACAAACTTGTTAAATACTCACTCTTTCTGTAGATCTGGAGGCATGTTTCCCCAAAACTAATTGTTGAAACAAACTTTTTTAGCGCAAAACAGTATTTCTGTATGCTTGTGACGTCATCAAGCAAGAGGTGACGGATCGGTATTTCTGCCTTTTTATAATATATTATTGGTTGACTCAAAAATGTTATTTTACTACTTTATGGTTGTAATTTGCATTTTTACAAGTCCTTTAACTAAAATTACAAGAACTGCAGGTTGATATTCAATATGCTGTTAAAATAAAATCACAAGCATGAGGATTGCGTCTCGCTGAGACGTATTGCGATAGGTGAGAAAAATGAGCATTCTCACACCGGGGGCACTTCTGGTTGTGTTTGGCCACGTAAAACGCTGTTAGAGGCCTACCTTGAAAAACGATGTTCTTGGCATGTTAAAATGAGTAATTAAGAATTTAAAGAAGGCAATTATAGACTTGGGTCATTTTGAAAACTATAGGCAACTTATGTTTATGGCTGTAAATCATGCTTTTAAGAATATGGAAATGTTCTCAAACTCGATTTTGGCAGTTTTCTAAAAACCGTAAAATTTAAAGGCAGCGCATTGTTTTGCTTCGAAGCAGCAAGAAAAATGCAGCAATATTTATTTGTTCATTTGGATGGATCTGCTTAATTCAAATGACATGATATATTTACTGAATTATTGGTAGGCTTCTTCACATTACAAATTAACATAAATGCCTTATTTTTTGGTAGACCGCCAACCACGATTATAGGCCGTACATGTTTGGTGTGCCCAGCCATGGATTTTGGCTTGTGCCTCATTTCCTACAGATGTTTCATTCTCTTTATACAGAACAGCGGCCGATTTGTGGAGGGGGTAGGCCTAAGGGTTCTCCGCCCCCCCCCCTCCCCCTCGATTTCTTGAAATAGGAATTTTGACTAAGAATAGGTCTAAACCGTGATAAATGGCACCGTTCATCCTGTGAAATAACGAAACCCGCCCCGATCCCCACGGCCGGATCCGCCCCTGCCATCACTGAATGACCCATTATTTAATTGTAGGTGGATAAAGAAACGCCCCTGCTTTATTCAAATATATAAATGCTGTGCTTCAGATTCGTAGCTACATTGCTTTTATTTGAAATATATATAAACAACTGAACAATAATCATGGACAGTTATGTATTTCCCCTGTTACTAGTTTGTTCACTTTAAATTAGAACTTGGGAACGTCTCAAAGCTTTCAAAGCTGTGATTCCTTTGAAATCTCTCTCGTCCACTGCTGTTTGCACATTTGACATTAATAACGGCATACGTAATTTCTGTTCACACGAAGACAGATATGTAGGGGGGTCTATTTAAAAGAAAATGTTGAGTTCGGTTCCCGCTCTCTTCCAAAAAAGCCAACAAGGATCTTGTAGTGTCCAATAAGACGTATATAATGCTAACTCAAAGAAGGTACGTGATTGACAATCTTAAGTTTATTACTTATTCTGTTATATTACTATGGAATATTACACAGTATACTCTTCATAATAATGTTCAATATGAAGCTTATGTTTGCAGATATAAATCCTTACAATATGAACAATGTCCAGTGAATTATTTGAAATGTTTAAATATTTTACAGTATGAAGATTTTTGTATATAAACAAATATGCAATCACAAATTAAAATGTGTATAGGCCTATATCACTTTTCTGCTATGTACATGTAAATTCTGAAACTCACATGAAGCTAAATTCACACAGAAGCTCAAGATAATCAGGAAACTAACCAACACACATGTCATGTGAAATAAAAAACTTGGGCTTTCATTAAATGTGTGCAAGCTTAAAAGGGACATGCAAAATTTGTGTCATTGAAGTGACAACACTGACCATCACCAGCCAGTGTTGACGTGCATCTATTTACCCTACCTATGCACACCAAAATAGCCCAGGGCATTCAGTACCTCAGTACCTGGGGCGTATTTCACGAGCACATATCAGCAGGTAACATGCCTCAGAGGTGTAGTTACTACGTGCATATATTGTTATGATTGTCCTGTGTGTAAAAAAACAAAGACAAAATGGCAGGATTATCGACATCCTAACTTGGTAGTTTAAGTCCTTTGTATCTGTGACAGAGAGGGGAATTCGCTCCTGTGAGAAGAAAAAGAACACTAGTTTGCCAATCCGTGTATACCAAAAAGTATGATATTCCAAAACACATCACCAGAGCAATTAACATTAAGTGTGGGAAGGGGTTGCAATGAACCCTTCTAGGCAGATTTATTCAGGATAAATTCCGACGAGACCAAATGCTCCCTCTGGAGCTATATCGTGCTCCAGACCTGGCATTGCTGTAAGTTTTTCAGCAAGTCTTCTTTGTACTGTCTTATTCAAGCTGTAATAGCAACCAATTAATAATTGTTTAAGACAAGGTAGATTTGTGCTAGTCAGCGAATCAATAAGATGATCAACGCTGTTCCCAATGAAGTTATCTGAAATGCGTAAAATTTGCAGTTCTCGCCACTGTTTAAGATTACCTGAAAGAACTTTCATTGCAGGCGCCATGTCTCCAAATAATCCAATATCGCAACCACTTATATCTAGAAATTTCATGTTCAAATTTCTAAGTTTAAGGAAAAACTTTTTCAGGGTAGTTGAAATGCCAATTTCGCAAAGCCCCATGTGTTTACGATTCCCAGAAATGTCAAGATATTGCAACCTAGGTATTTGATGCAAGTTGTCTGTAAGTGACTTCAGTCCTACGGGTGTTATGTCAGTGCATTTAAGCCCAAGTCGTTCTAAGCTAGGCAAATGCCTCAGCTGCGAGGCCAGGTTGCAAAGGGTGTCAATTAAAATTATGTGTCTCTTCGGTAAGCCGTCAAAAAACACATTACCTACTTGTACTGTGAATGGGTCCGTCCCATATTCTAAGCAAGTAATTCTTACAGACTGGGACTCCTTATTAAATTTCATACATGTTTCGCATTCAGCCAAGACTGTGTCTGACAGATCCAGTGTAAGAAGGTTGACCATGCTCTTTGTAGACACCAGTTGGAACATATCTACCAGGTGTTGGAGGGGAGGAGGGCAGAACCTGACAAGCAACGTCTCCAGACATGGGAATGGAGGCTCAAGTGACAGAAACAATTCCAAGTTGCTTCGATGCACTTCTAGATATATCAAACTTCTCATGGAACTTCCTGACAAGATCCTCGAGTTTGGATGTGCACATTTGTTTTCTAAACAACCATCTTTGTAATATTGAGTGTCTGACAATAACAATTTCTTCAAGGAGGGAAAGATAGTATGGTGGTGTAATTTGTGAATTCTGGCATCTAATGTGGACGTCATGGCAAAATGAGTGATCTGATGAGCATATTGCAATATTTTATCTGCTGCCTGGGGATAAATACCACGTATGTGAAAATCAAAGAGATGATTCAGCCATTGCATGTGTTGATGGGTTACAACATGATTGTTTGTCAACATTTCAGTTATAAGGCGTATAAACAAAGGGTTACAGTCTGAATCTATATTCCACTTTTCTACAAAATATGCAGTCTTAAAATCTGCATCTTTGTCTGTTACGCTGTGCAAATGAGAAAAGATCACTGCTGCTACCTCTGAGGACAGGCCACATACAAATTGTATGACATTTGCCATATCTTGGAACCGCTCTAAAGAGTTAATATGGCCTAAAAATGTCTCAATTGGCTCTGAGTGAGACCTATCCTTACAACTTTCAACTAAGTGCTTGGCAGCAAAATATTCCTGAATGGTCTTATGAATAAACGAAAAGCTTGATTTGTGGGCCTTTGTCCTTATGCTACTAAGTTTTAAACGAGACATGATACCTGTGTGGAAAATCTGTTCCCCCAAATCCTTAATGCTTGAATTAGTTTCATCAAATACAAGGTTACCGAAAAGAAGGCCATCAAAAGCAATTTTACCGATAATATTTGTCTTTTCTGATAGATAACATTTTGCCGTTTCTGGATTTTCTTGACGGGCTACATATCTGTCCGAAATTAGAGTTACAAGTTCTTGATAAAGAACTGTGAGGGAGTTGGGCATTTGTTCTGCAGTTTCTTCATCCCATAAAATGCATATAAAGAGTAACAGTAACGGGGTGGGTGATATGGATAGATGAAATTTCTTCACATACTGCACAACTGACTCGTGATAACCTGGATCTCTACCTGTGAAATGGTTTTGGATAAATTTGACAATTTCATCCGCGGACATGTCGTTGATTTCAACATGCATGTCACTGGGCCTATGTTTGGACAACTCGTGTGCTTTCCATGGGCGTGAGGTGACAATTACTGTTACACTAGCAAGTACCTCCCCTTTTATCAGTTTGGATATGTTATTCTGTGGGTTGGCATGATTATATTCATCATAGCCATCTAAAATTATGATGATTCTTTCAGCATTAGAATGAATGTACTTAAACAAAGCTTCATCTGATATTTCAAGAGAAGGGTCTATCAGCTGATCTTTGATTGATTCAAGCAGGGTTTGGTCTTTGTCAAGAAACCTTAACCTGATTAGAAACAGAAGTGACACATCTTCAAGATAAGAGTTATCTTTTGTTCCCGAATTCTCGCCACTTGAACCACTAGCGCCACTTTGCACCTTAGATCTTGCCCAATCGACTGCCATTTTTGCAGCAACTGTTGATTTGCCACAGCCAGCTTTACCTCTGATAATGATTCTTTTCTTTCTGATGTGTGGCTTGAAGATATCCTGGTAAGACCTAAGAGGAACCTTCTTGAGGTCACCACCTTTCTTTTGTTCTTGGATGAGAGACAGATCGACAAACACGTCGTCAATGTTCATGGTGTCGGTATCATCCCAGGGGATCCGCGGCACACAGCTCATCTCACGGTTGTATCTTTCTGCCAGGTGGTTTTGAAGCAATGTCAGCTGCTCATCTGAAATGATTAACAAATNACTAGCGCCACTTTGCACCTTAGATCTTGCCCAATCGACTGCCATTTTTGCAGCAACTGTTGATTTGCCACAGCCAGCTTTACCTCTGATAATGATTCTTTTCTTTCTGATGTGTGGCTTGAAGATATCCTGGTAAGACCTAAGAGGAACCTTCTCGGGGACACCACCTTTCTTTTGTTCTTGGATGAGAGACAGATCGACAAACACGTCGTCAATGTTCATGGTGTCGGTATCATCCCAGGGGATCCGCGGCACACAGCTCATCTCACGGTTGTATCTTTCTGCCAGGTGGTTTTGAAGCAATGTCAGCTGCTCATCTGAAATGATTAACAAATGCAATTTGTAGTATGCATGTGTGTATTTGCCGGTTGTTGTGAGTGGGTGTGTTCCGTCAGACAAACCATAAGCATTATAGCCATATGGAGGGCGGACTTTCTGTTACACGGACCCTCAGTTTTGATACACCGCCATAATGGATATATCACAGGCTGTATTTAATGTACATGTGTCAGTGATGGGACTTTTTAATAGTGGTTTATAACCTGAAGTTCAGGTTGTGCCAACTAGACCACGTTCCGCCACACCACCTGCCGTAAGACACCCTTCACACTTCCCAGCAAACATGTCACGTTCGGATCAAGTGGCTAGCACGTTGCTATGACGTTATAAAGTGGTAGCAACGTGCTAGCCACGTGATCCGAACGTGACGTGTTTGCTGGGAACATGGTTGGGAATTCTGCAAGCACCTTCTACGGCATGCCATTCATTTGCAAAACTACAGTCAGGAATCGTCATTAAAAGCTGTGAAATGGTGGCTGTTGAATAGATGTGACATTTTCTCCACATTGTCGATGAGTTCATGAATGGCTGTATACGGTGCCATAGTACAGGTGCTCACTGCAATCCAGATTACGGGACCATGTAAAGATGTACATGTACATCTCTCTTATATTGATATCACCGAAGCTGATAAAGAATAAGGGCTGTTAAGTATGATACGGAATAAAGACTGTTAAAGACAGCACAACCTGTTTTCAGCATCCAACAGTGTGTCTTTTTATAAAATGAAAAAAAAAAAACAAACAAACAAACAAAGCATACAAATGTATTAAATATACAATATAGCAGTTTTATATCAATCTACCTGACAAGATATCCCATGGGCTAGAGGTATCTTGTCGTCTGGCCCCAGTTTCACAAAATAATTTGAGTCAAGATCCCTGGCTTAGAACTAAATTACCAAGGTTACATGGTCACATGGGTAAGTCTTACCCTATAAGGAGCAGTGTAACAGAACTCTCATGGAAATCCTAGTCAAATAAACCAGGGCACTGACTTTAGCTTTTTGTGAAACTGGAACCCGGTAGCTTAAACAAATGATAGAAATCATGTTGCCAAGCAAATTACACTGCTGTCTAACAGTTTTTTAACGTAATCGTTATTATTAGAATAATTACCTGACAAAATTCCCTGTTCTGGCTTCCTCTCTGGTTGTTCCTCTGTACGTACGTGATGGTAATGGGTCTCAACATGAAGGTTTGTTTGTTGGACCGTTAAAGTCTGTTGAACTTCAAAATGGTAGCTTAGCGTCTCTTGTCGTTTATACAAGTCATCCAATTTGGCATATATATCTTCTAGTTTCACATCCATGTTTTGCATCATCATAAGCATTTCCATCTCCTCCAGGTAGCCACGTAACATGCATATTTGATAAAAAATGTCCCTCTCAGATTCAATAGGTTTGTCCTTCAATTGCTGTATCTCTGCTGGGTTCAACACTCCAAGGCGTATAACAGCACTGGAGATGGTGGTCCACTTCTGTTCAAATTCACTGGGGGTGATGTTAGTAGATTCACGGTGAGCAAGAAAATTACGTTCAAACTTGAGGAGAATGATGTCCTGCATGTCTTGTGGAGCACCTGCAGCTTTTGCTGGATCATTCCAAACTGGGTCATTAGGACGGGTATTCCCCACTTGGAACTGTCGAATTAATAAAAAGGTGAGGGTGATGTCAAATTCTTTCAAATCAGGTGGCTGATTATTGGAAGGGAAGATCAGATCATATTGCCTCTTGTTGATAAGTCTCTTGCACCCATGCCTTCCATGACGGAGATCATCAATGTCTGTTTTGTTTGTAGTAAAGAACTGCTGTGGTGTCTGTCCACATAGTATGTGATTTTGGAAGTACTTTCTTAGACCTTCTGTTCCATGGTCAACGAGAAGACATGCCAACTTGGCGTAGTACTCCATCTTGGCCTGAGAGAAAAATTAAAATTGATATTATTTAAATGAAACCAATAGAACATTCAAGAATTGTTATACGCAAAATGTGACTTTACGAAAACTCCATGTACAGTGTAGGGCATCTTATATGTATGTATGTATGTGTGTATTTTTTTGTGTATGTGTATTAAAGGGTGATTATGGGTGACACCCAGGGCACGCTTTAAATCTAACTTAATTTACCACCTCTGATTTAATTCTTTTTTGTGCATAGTTCAGTAAGACAATATTTAACTACAAATGACAATGTCTATGTAACTGTTAGTAATATAAATTTGAACACACAAGTGAAACACGGTTACATACGTCATCCAGTATTAGATGTGTAAGATTAGATGTGTTTTTTTACATTTACGTGGTGTACCATATAAAAGCCTATTCATTTAACATTTTCGCCACTTTGTTTTAGATTAAACTAGGCCAATGTTAAACGATGAAACCATGGCATTGGCCGATGAGGGTTAACTCGTCTGATTTGGTAAACAATCAATATTGGTGTTTTTTTTTTTTTAACTCCTTGCCTTGCAAACAACCAATAATTAAACTCTATACTTTGCAAACAACTGAAAATTCGTGCAGAGATTACGATAAAACCGCCAGGGACCACCACACACACATTTATATACAGAGAGGCCCATAAAAAACGACCTGTTTTACTTTCCATCTCAATTTTGATAGGCTTACTCACGCTCGGCTGTCACCTTGATTGGATAGTAAACGATTGTCGTAAAATCGCTAAATGATATTAAAATCGGGTACATCAACTTAAAAACCACCTAGGACAACCTAAGACTGCCACATTAATCCAATACAATGCAAAAATAAACTATAACAAGTGGTTAAAGCCTTCAAAACGAATGTCGTAAAGTCCCCATATACCTCCATAGAGACAATAAAATAAAACTCAGCCAACTTTACACTATTCACTATTCACTATTACACTATTACACTATTCAAATCAGGAAGTGACGTAACCGCAGAGGTCGCATTGTCAGATGGCATGGCTTCTTTTTCGTAATGGTAGGTTAGAGAGGACCAATTCAAACATCAGAGGTGCAATTTGGATATACGGTTTGATTGTGCGTATGCCATGCACGGAATTTACAAACGAGCGANAACTCAGCCAACTTAAACATAATAATCGAAATAAAATACTGCCGGGCATTGGAATTGGTCCTCTACACTATTCAAATCAGAGATCTCAGTTTTAAAATCAGTGTAACTGATCTAGTCAAATACAGAGTTGAGTAATTTTCAAGCATACTACATGGTCTTTAGTATAAACTGTTTATCCAAATATATATTTCTGTTATTATATTTCTCACTTTTCTTTTATGTCTAGCACCAAAAGAATGAAAGCCTATTGCCACCAGGGGAGTTCTTCATATTAAAAATACCAGAAAACTCAGAAGGAGACTTCAAAAATGAATCAACAGTTCTTACAGAATCTCAACTATCTGATAAAACCACTGAAGATCCACAGGATGAAACAAATAACAAAAAGAACTGCAGTACAACAATCCATACAGAAAATTCAGCAGATAATGTTAAATCAACTGAAGATACTAATGCTGTAGAGAAATCCACTGTGGAAAAAATATTAGAGAGAATACAAGGTAAAGAATAATTAAAGGTTATACTAGCTAGTAGACTATTTATTGAAGTTAATAGAATGGGTGATTAAGTAATTCAATGGAGATCATAATGAGGCTTCACATAATAGCAAGTAAGATTTTACAGGATTTGGAAGTGAGTGTCCATGTGTGTGCATTCGTGTGTAAATTACTGCGAGTTGCAAAAACACATTTTTACACATGAAAGCAATTAATTGTAATTCAAACAATATTGAGAGTATTTAAAAACGCTACCGGTATTCAGAAATTTAATACATCAAAAATGTACATGTAGGTAGTGAACTTGTTCTGGCTGAAGACTTGGTGATATGTGGATTGTGTGGCAAAAGTTTCTTGGACATCAAACAGTTTCTGCAGCATAAGTCTACACGTAAGTCTCTTCATTTTTATTCGAAATATATTATACATGTAACTGTGCCAGTAATGGGGTGTTTTCTCTCTCTATTTGTCTACAATCTCATAATTTATGGATGTGTTAAAAGCTTGGCAACTCTATTATATTGTTTGTTAATCTGTATAAGATAAAACTCATACATATCTTATTGATTGATATGAGTTTATTCCAAGGGATTGTGTACACAGGCAAGATGAATTTGGATATGTAAAAGTCTGTAGCATGGTAAATTTCTATTGAAAAGCCCTGTCACCTGCCCAATAACCATTTATACCATTTTGGAATGAAATTTAGATCAGGTTATTTTATTTCTGCATTAGCAGTGATCTTAAAAGTAATGCATGTTTGTATATGCAAAACTCTTTACAAAACATATAATAAAACAACATTTACAATACAAACATCCTTTAAAGTCCTTTTTTGGCATGTTGAGGTTGAGGCATTTTTTTTTTTTTTTTAGTAAGATGAGATGTCTTGTTACTGAGTCCAATGACACAAAGTCCCACCTCATTTGTTGTAAGACATCACCTATTGTAATTTTAGTGATCTATATTTACATGGATATGTTTCAGATAAAACCTATGCCTCCAAATACCGCTGTGAGCTGTGCCGCCAAACTTTCTGCCGCCATGCCACACTGATGGACCACTATCAGAGAAGACATCGTACAATAGTGAGGGTCTCCCCCAACCTCGTGACCGAACCTAATGAGGAAGAACCGTCCAACGAGAAAAGAAAAAGGTCAAATTTTAAGACAATGTCCAGGGGAGTCCAGGTGGACATCAAAGCCCCATCCCCAGGGGCTGATTTGGCATTTTCTGGGGGTGACATTGGTCCTCAGGTCAATAACTTAAAACATCTAGAGGACTCACAGCTGGACTTTCATTTCATCATATCAGTAGAGACCGTTAAAAAGAATCAGTTTGACTATGCCAGTGTTTATCTGAAGTGCTTACACTGTCGATTTAAAACTACCTCGAGGGCAAATCTCAGGACTCACATGAGAGCCAAGCATCCAGACATGATTGATATAAATCAAAGGATTTCCATAGGTGAAAACGGCACTGGGAATCACAGACTGGTCAGTATGTCCGAGTACAAACGCCAACTGCACAAACAACAGTCAGGACAGAGAATTGACAAGCAGGACGTCTTGGGTCAGTTTCCCTGTCCAATATGCAATAAAGTGTTCGGTAGGTTACGCTACCTTCGTGCTCACATGCCAGTCCATCGAAAAGAACTTTCATTCATGTGTGAAGAATGTGGTCGCCATTTTAAATCCCGTGCGAGTGTATATGCTCATAAGAGACGATTCCACAAGGGTGTCATGTACAAATGCCCACATTGCTCTTTTAGAACAGGAGTCAATATCTTGTACCACAGGCACAAGCGTATGCACAGCGTCTCCCGTCGAGGGCAGATTTGTGACGTATGCGGAGAAGCCTTCATTCATTCTCATCAACTCAAGAAACATCTGTCTGTCCACGATCCAACCAAACCATACCAGTGTAAGATCCAGTCTTGCTCATGGAGATTTGATAATGAAAATAAACTGAAGAACCACCTGTTTATATACCATGCAGAGAAAGAGACTGAAGCTCCAGCTAGCGTGGTGGAAAGTGATCACCAACACATGGCGACTGATGGATTGTCTCTCTCTGATGATTCTAAAGTGGGACAACAAAATCAGCAAACAAATGAGACAAGTAAGTGTTAAGCATAATCTTTCATACTCTTACTTTTAATTATATATATATATATAGAGAGAGAGAGAGAGAGAGAGAGAGAGATTCTAGTTTGTTGAGAATTGTAATTGTTGCCTTTATGAGATTGTCTAACTTTGTTATATTTTTGTTATCAAATGCAAATATAACTTACAATAAAATGTTTTTATGAGATATGGAAGGTTTATAAACTTCTTTTTGACACCTCTGATGTGCCAGTTTTCTGTCATCAAAACAATTGATAGAAACATAAAAGATATACAGTGCAATTTAAAAGATTTCATTTTGAACAAATGTATTTATCAATAATAAATTTGTCTCTGAAGATATCTAATTTTAGAATCAGTTTTATATTTGGAATGATAATATTTTTTTCAGAAGATAACAGCAGTGGAAATGTGCCTCAACAAGAAGATGGCAGCGACCCACAACCCCAGATAACTTATGTCATCCAGCCTGAAGGGAGTGTGCCGCAGTTAACCAGGCAAAATGTGGTATTCACATTAAATCCTAAAGACGCCGAGTCTAGCCAGCGACAGGCAGAGGGTCAGTTTGGCCAGGACGGAATGAATATAAGCTACCAGCAGTCTGGCGAGGTGGACATACTGTTCTCAGCAATGGCAACTAGTCACTCAGGAACAACTGACCATTCCACAGATCATGCCACTGACCAGGCCCTGATGCAAGGTTTTAATAGCCTGACATCGGTAGGCCAACAAGGAGGAACTTCCCACCCCAACAGCAATGTTTTGATGACAATAGCACAGCAGTATCGCAATGCTCAAGTTCTACTGGAAGAAGGATTTACAGGGGAACAGGTCCTTAGGCTCCTCCTGGAGAATCAGTCCGAAGGTGTCCTCAGTCTGGGTCAAGTTCAACTGCCCAGACATCTCCAGGCTGACCCCAATGCTGACATGGTTGGGCAGCCCCGGACATCAGTTCCAGTGTCTCAGTTAAGTGCATACAGCAGTCTGGCTGTGCTTCCTACGGTGAGTTCCCCTCCCACAAGCTTCAGTTCCAACCCCATCTTCTTGCAGCAGTTTCTGGATCAAACTCATGGAGCAGTGGGGCAAGGGGTGTTGGGGGAAGGCCAGGACTTGGGGGTGTATTCCAGTGGTTCTCTGACCCAGGGGCAGGTGCAGCAATTCACCACAGGAGGGGTTGGAGACGGTTTTCAGCCAATGGACACCCAGCAGCCAGAGGAATGTTTTGACCCATTGTTGCAGCATAGCCAAGATGCTGGTGAAACTATTAACACTTCTAATGGGACTTGACTGAAAGAGGAGAATTTTTCTGTACTTGACATTCACTATATCGTAGCAATAACTGAGACCCATACCAGTTTTACCAACGTTTCTTTATAATATGTTAGTGTATTTGTTATTATTATTAATTTGATGTTTTTGTTGTTAAGTTATATTTTATTAATGTGTTAGTCATGTCAGTTATCAGGTATATTTAAATATGTTCAGGCATCAGCTTGTGACTATTGTCATCAAGTTTTTTTTAAGTCACTTTAGTTGAAATCGTTTCAGCCAAATGACTAGTTTTAAGTCTTTATTTATTAGTAAAATGCAAAAAAAAAAGTAGCAAAACACTTTATTTTTATGATATTTAGCCAGAGTTTTCTAAACATATGGCAAAATTCCCCAGGCAAGCATAAATCTAGTTTTCTATATTGTAATGGTAGATTTTATGGTTGGAGGCTTATGTTCTGCCTACATTACATGTGCTAGTAGTCGTATTGTAAAAAAAGTCAGATAAAATTGTTATTTATTATTGTTACTAATTTCATTAGTTCTTGAAAATCATTTCTTTGTAAACATCTGCACAGTTAAAGGGAGCTTTTATGTGTAATTTTTGTCTTAATTTGTTCAATTGTTTATGCTATTATACAAATTTCTTTTTAAGAATCAGAATGTTGTCATAATGATTCACTCTAGCCTCTAGAATATCCAAACCACAGAAGTCCTTATGATAGCGCAATATCCTTTATCAAACTGTCAAGCCAATGACATTTTAAGAATATCTAAAAGCATTTTTACACAGTTGTGATTAAATCAAACAATATATAATAACATACATGAATGCATTATTATGATTTTATAGATACAGATTCTTGAATTTTTGTTCCTAAAATACGAAGAGTGATGTAGCCGATAGCTTATCTTTGAATCGGTACAGACGTAAACGTCCACGCAGTGAGGTAAACGTTTCAGAACACCCAAGCGTTCTTGCCTCTCCCGTGGACCGGACCAATGCATTGTCCAAGCAAACAGGGCGGTAACCGACCAATTTGTTTTACACTGGTTTTACATAGATGTACATAAGAACGAGAAGAAACACACCGATTGTGTAAGAGGAAATCTAATTAAGTATCTTCCCAAATGATCAGCTAGCTTGTTAAGGCCCTGCCACGCTACAGTGAATTGCACCAACGAATGAGAAAAGTTACATCATACTTTACCTATACGCAGGAGGTACGCTAGCCGTACGGTAGAAAGGCGTTAAAATACCGTGGCCTTGCCTTTGTACTGCGCGTAAGTAACGTAATGGTCGCGGAAGAGAAACGTATTGAGCGTATCTGTACTGTCAGATGAGCGTATTCAACGTACGCATGGCGCTTGGTTAGTGTTTGAAAACGTATCCAAACGCGTTGTAATATGTGATATAAATTTAGTGCCATTTTTACATTAATATTATCACCATGGCTCTACCGTTTTCTTCCTTGGTTATGATGCCTTTGCCCTCCGAGATACCCTGATGAAGCCATACAGTCAACGAAGTCATACCGATATGTAAATACAGTGTTTCACGTGCCAGTTGAAAATGCATTTGACATCCTGCCAAACCGTTGCCAGGTTCTCATGACTACCATGAAACGTCACCCCTCCACTGTAAAGATCATCGTAAAAGTCTGCATAGTTTGCACGATTTAATATGGATGCGGCACCCTGGGATACAGAACCCAGTGCTCGACCGCCCAGAAAACATCACTGAGAATAAAATCGGAGTCCAAGTGACTCCAAACTTGGGAGTCCAGCAGCGGTGCCTAAAATAACTCCCAATTGGAGTCACGTTGACTCCGATGGAGTAACGCCATCCCAGACCACACAGAAGGGTCTCCATTCACACATCCCTTGATTTATCTCTACATAAGAGTCACCATGACCCCATATTAAGGAATTTTTGACTCCTTGGCTCATTATGGAAAAACAGCAACAACAGTGCCGAGCGGGGTGACAGCAGGTTCCATTTATTAAAGCCCGGTATGTCGCCGGTAGGGTTCGAACACACGGAGGTGGGCACTCTAACCACAAGGCCATCCGGTCGCACATGGTGTCAGCATAGCAATAACAAACAGTTTGTAAATCTGGTAATAAACATCATGACACACACACACACACACACACACACACACACCAATGAGTGAGCATACCTCCCAAGTGACATGCATTGGCGGGTCAAACCTACAACCTAGAAACAAAACCTGCTAACCTGTATACCAACGTATCACATAAAGGGTGTGGGCAACTGAAAGCCCGGGCCAGTAATAGGCCTAATTAAGTGCACGAGTTCTGTATGCAGAAACACACAGACAACCACTTGTTCATGCATAAAACCAACTATGGCCAATAAAGAAATGTTTAAACTGACAATGGATGATGAAAATTGTTCTCTCCACGCCGCCTGACTCTGATTTTAGAGTCAGATTGACTCCATGAGAGCCAGGGGGTGATAGACTCTGATAAGAGAGTTTAAAGACTCTGGTAGGGGGTAATTTGACCCTTATGTAGGAGTGAAATTAACTCCATTAGGGCGAAGGGGTACTGGACTCTGACCAAAGAGTCAAATGACTCCAATTTTATTCTCTGTGATGGCTTAATTGTGATCCATTCCCTGGAGCAATGAGACGGGGCAGAAACTTGGATGACACAAGTAGGTTTACAGAGAACAACAGAGAACAACACTTCCACCAAGAGAGGCAAGAAGCTGAGAAACCTATTGAAGCACTGCCAAATCCGAAACAAGTTCACTTCCATGCAAGACGGTATGATTTAACCCAAAAATGAACTATAATAAAATGGTGTTAAACCCGATAATCAACTGTATTACGTATAAAGGTCAATATCATAACCTAAACCGAATAAAAAATTAGGCTCGGTACGTCATACTATAGAGCGTATTGCACTAACGAATGAAATATACGATGTATACGATGGTGCTGCTGGAAATGAAATTATTTCAGATCCCGCACGGGACAGCACCGCCAGCCCTCCCTAGATATAAAAACAGATTGCACACAACTCATTGGTGCTACAAAGAACTGTAAAACTAAATTAATATAACAACAAAGAACAGCATTAGCATATCGCGATGCCGCGTGTACCGCCGTCATTCAAAAAAAGTAAAATTACGAGATGTTAAACCAAAACTGGTCCGTTATGCTGCATTAAATGTGCTAAAACTGAATGTTTGAAGAATTGTGTAAACGTATGTTTAGTAAGGATGCTGAATAATTAAATAAATGAAATAATGGCAAAACATCGTTAGTAATGGTAGAGGTATATCTATTATCAAAGATCAAAGTAATAATAAACAACTTCACAATATCATCTTCGCTACGTTTATTACAAGCTCATTATAGGCAACAAAACGCCCAGTTTTCGCAAACGACGCCTGTCATGCTACAATGCAATTAAAAATCAATTGATTAATTATAAACAAATAAATGAATAATTGCTTAGAAATGGCAACATTCGGATCATCAGGGTTCGACAGCGGGGGATGTGACGTCATTTTGACAAGGCCCTACCCTCTGGGACAATTGTTGAGGCATAAAACGCTTCTGCTCCAGCACCGGTTGACACAAGTTCTCCTGAACGATCCGCTACAGCGGTCACTGCATGATGACGCCTGATTATTGCAATAACGTTGACACTGCATAATAAAATAAATAAAAGGAAAGGCCATAACTTTATGAACAATTTTTACGCATCTAGGTTTAACGCACGCATATTTTAAAATCTATAAGCAACCAGAACAGAAAAGCAGAAAATAACATCTTTACACAACTTGAATGGCTAATAAAAGAAACCAAAACATATACTAGTCTATGTTTAAATAAATATCATCAGAGAGAGAGAGAGAGAGAGAGAGAGAGAGAGAGAGAGAGAGTAAGAAAGAGAGAGAGGGAGTAATGGAGAGTCGACATACATTTAAGTCTATCTCCTTGACAAAACCACACTTTGACACTGTGAATGGATAAAGATTGAAAGAGAGAGAGAGAGAGAGAGAGAGAGAGTTGTACAGATGTTAACTGCACTTACAGCCATGCTACCACAAGTGATTTTGTTATGATAGTTACCGAATTTCCCATGTATATGCTCAGAGCTTGGGTAGAGCTTACTACCAGGAGACAAAACACTAAGGTCATAATTGCCCACTTCATTCTGATCGGAAAAGCCAGTGAAAACACGGATACCTGTCGTCGAACTCGCTTTGATCTTCGCCAACTGTAACCACTCTCTGAAGTTGTTTCTCTCCAGATAGCGTAGGCCTACGCGCTGGCTGCTTTTATGCAGTCACTGACGTCGAAATTGCAGAGATGAAAGAAAGGCATATTATTCATATTCGCTTGATTAATTAATTAATTGATTAATCCCGTATCAGACAGTGATATTGTTGATCAAAACAGGAGTGATCTGGATTTTTCTGGTCTTAATCGTAGAAAAAATGAATATAATTCACTAATGTTGATAATAATCAGTCGTCAAGCATTTGAACTGCTCATCAAGTTTATTTGTTCCGACATTAATAAATTGGAAAAAATTACACGACCATTTTCCAATCGTTAAAGGATGGGCGCTACAGTTTGTAATGCGTTACTCAATATCTTCAAAATTACCTATAAACTCGTATATGTAATGGCCGTCTGCCAAATGGAAGTCCCTTGTTATGGCAATATTATGAATTACAAATTTCTATTTCTGCATGGTCAAAAATTAGTCTTTTACAAAACCGGATCGTATTTGTTCCTAGAATGACATGGTTCTGTTCCACATCTGTATGTATCTAGTTGGTGATAAGTTAGTTTCTGCTTTATCAGCTTACCTATAAACCATGAAAATCCTTTTTTCATAATTGTCTCCAATATGTAGATATGTAATGGATGTTGTTGGAGGGAAGGCTCACGTTTCACAGTGGTAATCCTCATTCAACATAAACCCAAGGACATCCAGACGCGACCAAGCGCAGGTGCACAATGAAGTGAAACTCGTATAGACGCAGTGGCTGTCCCAAGGGGCATTTTTGGATCACGTACACTTCCCACATTTCAACATGACCCTCCCTGAAATCAGTATTAGCAGCAAAACTATGCAGGCAAAACTAAGCGATCCGTCCATCCATGTGCCTTACAAACTAAAGTGAACTTGTCCTCGTCAGCTACTGTGTTTGCCGAAAGAAGCTAAGACACCCCACCCCTTGTCAAACCTCTTGGTCCGCCAGTGAGACCCAAGGGCCTGTGCAGAAACAGTTGATCCGCAGACTAACTGGCCGACTTTTTTTTTTACCATGTTGCAGCAATATATGTCAATGCCCATTTTATTTTTCTGCTTTCTATTTGCTGTCATGAATTCGTTCACTTTATACCATTCAATTTGAACCTCAATGCTATAAGACACACCAAACTTACTTCTTACGATGGTCATATGCTAATGTGGTCTCTTCATTCAATATCGAATATACTAGTACAGTACTACTTTATAATAGCAGGTAATGACTATAAATTGTTAATTTTCATTCAAAACGACAAATTTGTTTCATGTTTGATTTTACGACATTATAAAAGTTTACGATTAAAAAGAGTTTGAAATTTGCTATTCCAAAAGCACGTTTGAGTAACTTCGGCACTTGTCCATAGAAACTATTTCTCCAATAACAAATCACTTTTCCTGGATAAGGGCACGAAATGCAAAAAGAATAAGTGGACACCAGGCATGAAAAAGTAAAGTTTATATTGATTATAAGACGGGCCTGACGAATTTTTTCGGCAAGCAGGAATCTCTATGATGCGAGTAGAATGGCAACGGATAATACGACAAATTCTGTTGGAAAGCGATCTCAAATCGAGATAATCGAAATCAAGGGACGAATGAGTACAGTTGAGAGGGTAAATGAATTTATTTTGAACTTTTTTATTTCAGTTTTCTCATAATTTGAAATGGCAAGAAAATCTAAATGGTATGACCATTATACAGTAGCTGTCATCACTACCATTTTTGCAAACTTTCTACTTTCTAAGTTCAGGTAATATTCTGTTTAGCTTCTTGGAAACATTTTCCTTGTATTAATTTACACAGATACAGGGGACTTATCTGTGCAATTTTGTCTAAATTTCCTAATTTCTTTATGCTACTGCACATATTTCCTTTAATATTGAAAATGTTGTAATAATGATTCACGTTAACTTCCAGAAAATTAAGAACACAGAAGTCCTTCAAATATCAAAAATATTCTATATTGAACTTATAAAGCCAATAACAATTTAACTAAAACTACATTGTTAGTGCTTCTTAAATTTCTTTTCTGGTGACCCGTTATGATTAATTCAACAATTTAAAGAGACATATGTGCATTATTTTTATCTTCTTGCTTTACATGAATTGTTGAATTTTTGCACCTAAAATTTAATATTAAGAAGAAAAAAAAAATGATACATTAAAATGAACAAAAATTAAAAAGGGTATGCTATCTATTACATACAACCACAATAAGTATAAATCACTTTCATTTAAATTTACCGGTAGTTCTCAAATATATAAATGTATATAAGAAATTTTAAGAAATAATTATATTAATAATGCTGTTACACATGTTCACATATTCAGGATTTTTAGGTCAAAATAAAATGAATAGAGGAGTTTGATTAACATTATGGATTCAACTGTTGACATCACTAGAAAATAAACAAAGATCTTTGGGAAGGTTTTCAAGGTAAGAAACTTAACATAAATGTATGTCTACCCTCAGAGCAGCATGTGCACTATAGAACGGTTCATAGAATCCTACTACTTTAGTCACCAAGGCTGCCGTTTTTATTAAATGCAAAAAAAAAAAAAAAAAAAAAAAAAAAAAAACATGCTTAGACCCCCTTTACACTGGATGGCGTCCTTTCTGCGTCCCGTAGTATGGCCCCCGTTTGAGAGTAAAAAAAAAAAAAAAAACAAACTTAACATTCCCACAACTGGCCAATCATTGAGCATTCATTCTGCATCCAAAACAATGTTTGTACCTCCTTTCTACGACCATAGCAATGCCAGTTTCATGGTAGCACAAAGGACGCTGTCCAGTGTAAAGGCGGTTTTAGTAAAAACTTCCACACCCTAATATACTAACACATAGGCCACAATGTACAAAGTTTAAGCATTGTCATTTCCTGAACACAAATATTCCTTAATTCATTTGAGCAACTTATAAGTATACAGTAATTTCAATGCAAGACGGGTAGTTTTAACCATATGAATTTTGCCACAAGCTTTATACCACAGCAAATGTTCAGAATAAAGGACCCTGTCATGGTGTATATCACATGCACAACATGACTGACAGTTGCACCAGGCCTTTGTCTTTTCTGTGCATCAGCCGTAATATAAGTCAGAAGAAACTTCTCTTAAGCAAGGTGCCAAGATCGCGTTAAGTTAGTGACCTAAAAACAGTGTCATAACAAGTCCCAATGAAATGTTTTGATTTTTCACTAGTGTGACTGAATGCATCCTGGTGATTCCTTCAGATTCCTGGTGAGACATTCATAATCCTAACAAGACGTAATACATGCATTGCATGTAAGCAAATTCTTTCATCTTTTACCAAAATTAAACAGACGATTTACTAGTTATCTGCAAAGATTCGGTTATCCTTTGATCTGATTGATTTAACAACAATGCATGAATGGGACCCACAGAGATGTTCTTGAACCTTTCATGAGTCCATTGGCGAGTCCATAGCAGGCCTTCTATATACGCTGTATGTGTACAAATGAAGAAGCTGACTCCCAATACTTGTTTAAAGGGATAACAACTCTTCATATGAGATCCAAAATTCCACAATAAATATTTAATACATTGTAAACAACACAGAAGTATGATTAATTCCATATTGCCACCAAAATGGCAGTCATCACAATTATTCTGAAATGTGTGCTTGCCATCAGACCACATGGACCTTCTTCATAGATGGATATCCTCTGTAATTATCTCGTAAGTGATAATTACAAAAAACAAAAAAAAAACAAAAAAAAAAACAAAAAAAACAAAAAAAAACTTGAATGTTGGAATGTATTTTTTGCCTTTGGTAAGTGTGGGAAACATCTTTGTTTACCCTAAGAAAATTGGTTTTATGGCACTTTTCCACCAAAATGAAAAGTTGTTATCTCTTAAAGTAACATCCCACAGGTACAAACAGTACAGACTATTTAAACACACTCACTTTCATCGTCTTAATACAAGTGCCTCTTTCACAACAAGTGTAACCCTGACTTAAGGCCACTTATAGTAAAAGGACCAAAGTCATAGAAACAAAGCCCTGGGCTTATAAGTTTTTATAAAAAATTAAAACAAACTTCCCAAAAGGCCAATTAAAGACGGGGATTAAGTACAGTGTCCAACGGATGACGCTCTGGCGCCAATTTGAGGGGAAAAATGCCGTTTTCGGTATTGGGATTTTCTCTACAACCAAGACAGCTATTCAAGTGATTCAAAAGGCCTCATAAAGCTGGGTGAAAGCACTACAGCGGGGTACCAGGGAATTGTC